CTGTCAACTCTAGAGTGTTAAACCATAGCACCGTGTCGGATATGTCGGCTTTTACGGCCTGGGTAGAGCAGGCTTTAAACACTTGGCCTATGTTGGCCCCAATCATATTCCATATCCAGGTTTTTTGACGACCTTCTTGGGTGTTGGTGAAGAATATCTGATCTTCACTTTCTCACTGCTGGGATATGAATGTCAACAAATGCCGGAGCCATTACTGCGTGTCTGGGAGCAAGGAGTAATCATTGTTTGTCAAGGCTATTATCCTTCTGCAGTAGCATCTTCCAAAAAAAAAAAATTAAAAACAGTCCAAAGAATACTATGGGGAACTGAGCTAAATACATATTAGATTAGATTAGATTAGATTACAATAGATTAAAGTGAACCTGAAAAGTCAAATGTCATTAGCATTATAGCATAATTGGCTGAGTCAAAATACATATTAGTAAGCAAAAAAAAAAAAAGAAAAGAAAAAAAGAAAAGAAAGTTCTGTCAGATGTGCGTAAAGAACAGCAAATAAGCAGCGTTAGAAGAGTCTTCGAATGTTGCATTCTATCTATTCTGAACTCTCCTCAAAAAGACGAGGCCTCAGGTGCCAAATGACTGAATAAATAATTTGCGTCCGTCAGTGTTTGTTTCGTGAGTGCGCAAAATAATTTCCATTAAAACTGAGATCTGCTTTCCGCCTATTACCTTTGGATACTGAATGACAAGGTTTGGCATTAATATTTTTTTTTTTTGTATGCTTGTCTGATAGCAATGACATACTTTAAGATGACAATGCCAGGAATAATCAGTGTCCAATTATGATATAGTGGAAACATGACTAAGCTTTTTTTAAAAAAAAACAAAAAAAAAACCTCAACATCTCTGTTTAAGTTCCACTGAAATTCTCATGGTTGTCTTGGGTTAGGGAAAACAATATAGATGTAAACAACTCTGACATTACCTGAACGCTGCAGCAGAGTTATAAAAAACAACAGAGGTCTGACAAAATATCAGATCTATTGGCCCCTTTTTTTTCTCGACATGACATTTTTGCGCGATCCGTCTTCGGTTCCCTTTAACTCCCACCTGCGCAGCACTCTCTGTTGTAAATCTTGTCTTTGTCTCTCTCTTTCTCTGTCTCTTGAAACCATGAAGTGTAAAGTTGATCGACAACTTCTTCCACTGCTCGCCCTGGAAGTGACTGTGTACGTGTGCGTTTTCAAAACCAAGAGATAAAGTAGACGCTGTCCACTCAGGCCTGACTGCTCTGCTGGCATTACACTGGTGTTGGGCTGCACGTACTGTAGTTGGATGGTGGGAAGGATGGGAGAGTGTGCAGGTTGAATAATGAATCCCTAACTAAAAAAAAACCATCAAAAGTGTGTGTGCTTGTCCGTGTGTGTGTGTGTGTGTGAGGTGAGGCATGAATGCTCCACTGAATTTTCAAAGCTCAGGATTTTGCCTGTGGCAGTTCTGTCACGTTTACAAAGCGATGCTGGAAGTCACTCTGGATTTAAAAAAAAAAAAAAAAAATCAGATAAAACAGCAGACTGACATTTGCCACATGAATTTGGGTCATTCACTGTTTCCATGACTGTGACCATATTGGGTGTTAGTTTCATGTCAGACCTGGGTCGCGGAACATATTTTTGCAAATTTACTTTGATACAATCACTTGCTTTATACAAGGCCGTTTTTTGTGTAGCATTGTGTAAAATATAATTTGATACCATTTTAGATTTATCTCAAAGTAAATTTCGGGCAAAAAGGCAGATAACCAATAAGGTTGTATTTTCAAAAATCCTCACTTTTATCTTTGTTAATTCTGCCTGAGATATCGAAGAATGATTTCACATGTAATTTTACCAAATATTAATCCACACCGTAGCGGTGAAATGTTATCCCATGTGAATCTGAGACTGGCACGACTGGTTCAACTGGGTTCATTTAGACTCCTGATTCTGGGATTGTTGGAGTGCAAACGTGTAGGTGTGCTGCTGATGCTGACAAATGCTGCTGATGGAAACAGGAATTTGCTGTCAAAACATGTCAAGGTAAAACTATGTGTACCTTGTCTATAAGAGCTATAAGAAACCCAAGTGGATTGAAATATTGTAAGGACCTGCAGCTGACTCATATGCTGTAGATAAAAGGTCACAAACTTCAACAGAAGTCGAGCTGCAACTGACCTTTCGGCACTAACTATTAGGATCTGAGAGGTACTTTTTAAACACTTTCGTTTATCCGTGATTTCAAACAAAAAAATCTCCAATAACTTTTAGCGTGGGCATACACTGATTTTTGAAAATCAAAGAAGATGTACAGACAAAGCTCACGATGTACTCACACTGTGTGGTCCGATCATCGTACACGACCAGAGAGCTCACAATGCACGGGTGAAAACGGCTAGTCGGGCCCTGCTGATTGTCCTGTCTATGGACAGCTGTCAATAAAGATTTATATGAAAGCTCCGACGCTGGTTATTTGCAACATGCTATTCAAAAAGAAGAAGGCTGCAATTATGACTGCTGCGATACTGTGCGCTGAAAATTCGAAAAAGAAGAGGCGCCGGCGCATCTGGAGTCGGAGATGGCTCAATAAACATGGACAGTACGTTTATTGTTTATTTATTATTACGTTTACTGTAGACGGTGCCACAGCTCTATCAATCTCGCCTCCATATTTTCATGCCACCGACGCCTGGCCATGGTTACTTTCACCATTTTCAGATGCTGCGGTCGGCTCGGGGATCTGCTTCCACTGTGCCAAAAAATTTGTCGGCCGACCAAAATTTCTGACATGTCAGAAATTCTTCCGACCGTCCTACGGTGGTTCGGGAACAGATAATCGGCCCTCGGGACCCCCTGTACACTGTACGGAAAAAGACGCCCGACGAAACGGGAAATCAGGCCGAGCGTCGCCAGGTCGTGCGGCTCAAAAATCGGGTTGAAAACGGGCTAAAATCGTACAGTGTATGCCCGCCCTGTGCACTATACACAGTATACATCTAGAAGCATAAGTGTACACACTCACCGGTTCAGTCAGTTCCAGTACACTAGCTTTATACGTGATGGGACTACAGTCACGAGTGCTCTCCACCAGTGTGCAGGGCAGAAACATCGGACCCAGGTCATCCCCATCCAGAACGTCCACGGTGAGAGTGGTGGTGGCTGTGAGACGGTCATTAGGGTTGGGGGCTCGGTCCTAGAAAGATAACAAAGAATAGTGTAGCGGTTAGCATGCCTGCCTGAGAGCAAAGAGTCCAGGGTTTGATTCCAGGAAGAACCACGTGATTGGTGCCTCCCATGGGCAGCCTGTGTTGAACAACTGTTAACACAAGAGTTTTCCAAATTATTATTATTATATTATTACATTACGATATTGAAGAAACTAAAAGGGAACAATAAATGCGTAATTAATGTAAGAATTTTGACAGACAAAAAGTTCTTTAATCACGTTGTTCAAGTCAGTCGAAGTCGTGTGGATCTCTGTTTCTCTATGCGTTCCTCAGAGTGACTCGATGGGGCAATAAATTTCAAAAATATGCTGCAATAATCATTTTAAAAATCTGTCAAGAGAGATAACAAGTGAAAAACCTTATCAAAGTGTGCTAAAAGTTTTACTTTACTGAATAAAGTAAATGGGTAAGGTTTTTCGTTATAACATGAATTATGCTTTTTTAGCAAAAATAATTTACATCGACCACTTTTTAATTTTGTTTTAGGACAACCACTAAATCATCTTCCTAACGTCTGTTGCATTTAGTTACCTTACCAAAGTTACCTTTGCCAAACAGCTTTGTTAGATGTAAGAATTTGCTGGAATTTATTATTGGAGTCGTTCTTTTTTTTTTTTTTTTATGCCCAGCAAAATACACCCAGTTCGGAGACTTTAAAATTCGAGGAACTCTATCACACAGAGGGAAAATAAATATACTGTAACTGGCTTGAATTAATAAAACATACCATGTGCTGCAGTAAAATAAAAAGGGAAAACAATTCTATTACCAAAGACATTAGTAATAATAAAGGATGCACTTATAGTTCCCTAAAGGCTGACACAGCAGACCATAAGTAGTCCATCCAACAGTAATTTTATCGCAACAATAACAATGAATACAACGGCAGCACCACTGCAGGCTGCACTCGTGCAACAATAACAATGAATACAACGGCAGCACGACTGCAGGCTGCACTCAGTCAGGACACTGTTTATTTCCTATAGACATTCTGGCCGGAAATAGAAACTGGTTTTAAACAAAATATAAGAGTCAGTGACAAATGATAAAAATATATATATTTTTAAAAGGGAATTCTGTTAAAAATCTGTTTAGGAAGTATTTTGACGTTGTCCACAGAGAATTCAATGTATTTTGTTTTAGTAAATGAATCCACATCTACTTACAGTACGTATTTTTTGTAAAGCTTTTTCTGATTAATCAGTTGTATGGTGTGAAACTGATTACAATTAATCATGATTAATCATGATGGCACACCACTGGCACAGAAAGACAAAGTAGACAGCGGGAAAATGAATGTGTTTTATGAATATTTCTTGTGAATTAAAATAATATTGTAATATTTATTTAATATAGTAAAATGGTTAACATTAATAGTAAACCATGTCAGGAAATATATGCAAAGATAAAACGTAAAGTTTGCTTCGTCCTGGCTAATCTTGGCTAATGTTGAGAGCTTTAGCAAAGCTGTTGTCCTCAATAACAACCTGGCCAGATCTTACTTCACTAATGCTCCTGAAAAATCATCATCAAGTCTCAAATATTTCAACACATACCCACAGCCATTTGTCAGGCCCTTAAATTTGAAAAAACAAAAAACAAAACAAGTTTTAGATCTTGGAAATGGCAGTTGGCTCCACCTTTCTTAATCTTAAAAAGAAGTATGGAAAAGTAATTTATATTTTGCATTCCGCTGTGACATCTTACAGTAACAAGAGCTCTCTGGAGTAAGGTGTAATGTAAATAAAACACTTTTCTGAAAGACAAAGTATGGAAAAGTAATTTATATTTTGCCACTGCCAGTAACAAGGTGTAACGTAAATAAAACACTTTTCTAAAAGACCAAATAACATTTCTTTACAGTGAATCAATCAGAACTAGGTCCCAGTATGATTTCAAATCCTTAATTTTTTTAAAATGTGCCTCAAAGTAAAATACCTGCAATAAATTTGTTTTTTCTTTTGAATAATAATGATTAAAAAAAAAAAGAAAACTCCACTTACGTTAGCTTGTATGATGACCAGGTATCGTGTTATCTCCTCATAGTTGAGTCTTTCTCTCAACACAACAGAGCCAAAGAGTGTCAGGGGGATGTCAAAGGTTCTGTTGGCTGTCTGAAACACACAAATACATCAGAAACACAAACACCGTGAGTCACTTACAGGGTCAGATGTCACGCAGTCAGTATTTCCCCTGTGTTTGGGGCTTAAAGCTGTTCAAATAAAGAGAAGAGTGAATGGGTTTCTGATGATAGTGCTGTAGTTTTGGCACACCACAGAAACAGGGATGTTACAGCAGATGCAAAATAATTTGTGTGATATTAAAACGTTAAGAGCACCAAAGAATGGAAAGAAAACTCATCCCACATGGCAAATGATCTCTAAGCTTTTAGAAACAAAAACGATTATAAAAACTAACACATATATATGTAGATAGATAGATGGATAGATAGAGTTTTCTAGTATGTTTGCTAGTTCAGGAAGATCAAGATGGTTGTTTTGGTGTTGATCTTATTGTGACTTGCTTTTATATTTATTTATATTTATAATAGTAGTCAAATACGTTATAAACAACATCTGATGAAAAAATATGTCAGGGTCAGGAATAAGTGTGAATTTGAAGCTATCATGTCCTCTCAAATTATAATGAATGCTCTTCAAGCCAATTACAGGTGCTTTTAAAGAGAGTGCTCTTCTTGTGCATTCATCCACAAAAGTACAGAAGTATAAAAATAGCCAAAACATATCTTCAAGTCAGTGGAAAAATAAAAAAAAAGTTAGCTGGGAGGGAATGTTGGAAAGTTATGCGAACAGAGTTCACAGAGAAGAAATATAGACGAAATTCCTGTAGCCCTCCAACTCTAATAGGAGCGGAAGAAAACTTATAGAAAAAGTGGAAATAGTGAACAATATCCGGAAATACAGAAAAACTATTTGGAATCAGACTCAAAATCCTAGAATTGACCCTAATGATGAGACTTATCTTTGAGTTGGGCCTAAGGTAAGTTGATGTCTTGACCTCTGCTGTTTATATAAACAGTAGACATTTTAACACATCTGCTGCACTGTATGTCAAATAACTTTTACCGTCCATTCCTCTCATTAATGGAACACCAATATGCACAGATTCTTGTTCACATTGTGGTAAAAAAAAAACAAACTCTGAAACTTGTTGATGCTGATGAATGACCTACCGGGTCTTTTGGGTTGTACCGGATTGTGTATTCAATCTGTCCATTGGGACCGTCGTCAATGTCCGCCGCCCCATTGTTGCCAAAGAAACCAGAGAAGATAGTTGTTCCTACTGGTGTCAACTGCAAAGAAAAATACATTTATCAGGTTTAACACCACATCATGAAATTTCAATTTCAAACAGTTTGAATCACATGCAATTAGACCAGGTGTGTCAACCATATGGCCCGCGGGTCAAAATTGGCCCACTACGGGGTTCAATGTTGGTGATGTTTTGTCAAATTATATTCAATAAATATGAATATTTTCTAATATACTTGTACTTATTTGCAGGAAAACAAAGCGGGGAAACATGGACTTATTGTTATTTATAGGTAATTATGTTATGGTTGTACTGGTCCGGCCCACTTGAAATCTACTCAGGCTGTATGTGGCTCCTGAAAATGAGTTTGACAGCCGTTGTTTAGACCAACACACTGTATGCTGTAAAATGAACGAGTTATTTTACAGCAGTAAAGCATTTGGTTAAAGGAGGTTTCAAAAGTATCCAACTGTCTTTACAAAACAAGAGGGGGAAAAAAAAAATCAGTATTTTGTTTATTGTGCTCAACTGGAGTCAGAAGATCAGTTTGTAGTCACTCCTGCACATTCATTTACACTGGCAAGAAAATAAAACCAAGGCAACGTAATGGCGTACAATCTTGTGTTGATTGTCCGCACCTCAGACATTTTGCTTTAAATTGCAAGGAAAAATTGCCACACTCCATCGCCTTTTACCACCATTACAATATCTGACCCATTGGTCAAGTAAAACAAACAAACAAAAAAAATACTTTCAAGAAATAAAAAAACAATTCAACGATAAGCCACTATATTAAATGTATAATTGTAAGGAATGGTGCTTAAACTTTTAAAATATAACAGGGCATAGAGCAGCAAAGTTCTCAGCAACTTCTAAATTAGCACACCATGGGAGGAAATGTGCCATGCTCAAATTGCAGTGCTGTTTTGTCAGCTCTTTGCCCCGGGATCTGTCATTAAGTGTCAAATTTTTTTTGACTTAATCTCCAGACGGCACAGGAAACGTTTGTGATTAAGTTAAGTTTAACTGCTGTGTCAGCGATTTGTAATCTCTTTTTCTCGTCCCTCTCGTGATGACACAAAGGTCTTCAGATAATCTGATGTTTTCACTTTTTTTATATATTTTACTTCCCCTTCGCTATCCAACACCAACTCGAGCATAAGTGCCAGCTCATGGAATTATTCAATGTTAAAATCTAGACTTGTTACTTTATCACACCTCCCTGATGTACTTCGGCTTTCTCTTAACAGTTGGTAATAAGATAAAATTGTGAAGAAATTTCAAAGGATGAGCTCTTATTATAGGCATTATACAACCCAATACACCCAAATATGTATTCTCTTTTACAACTACATGTACACCGATATGAATAATTTGCTGTAAATAACCCTCAGCACCGACAGCCTCTTTCAAACTCAGTAGTAATGGGATGGATTTAAATGGCTGATTTAGGGATGTGCATCAAATGCCATAGTAGCAAAGTGGTCTAACTACTCTGCCAATATGGAGTACTAGACAGCCAAATCACCATGCTCTCTGGAGTTTCATGTTGACATCACTGCTGCTCGGAGTGGCATTTGTTGCAAAGATATTTTGACCTGGGAGTGACAGCTGGAGAAAAAACTATTCCCACTGCAGAGAAACGGCAAATGTGAGTGGGCTCTCTGTGAGTCGTTTGACCATCGACCACTTGTATTACAACAGTTAGTTCTGACTGAGTAATTTAATTGCGCTGAGAGCAATACGTTAGTGCTGACGGAGAGCAATACGACACTGTAAAGTTTGCTGCTGGTCCCATTTAGAACTGTAACGCTTTCAAGTTTGGCTGTATACTTTTCAATTTGAGTGCATTCTGAATGCATGTGCAGCGGTGTTAGATTCAGCTTTACTGACCATGTATTTAGATTCCATCTCATGGTGTCAAACCCCTGGTCTGCGGGCCACTTTCGGCCCACAAACACACCAAATCTGGCCCACTTTTTTTTTTTTTTTACATTTAACTAACATTTAGAAAATGTTTGTTCATTCATACCTTATTTGGATTCACTAACCACTAATGTGGACTTTAAGCACTGCTGCCAATTTCTGTGAGAAAAACACAAGTAACTCTCGGCCAAACAAGTGTTTCATAATAGCAAACAAAGCCAAAAATAAAACAGAAAAAAATCCCAGTGTGCTCATTCAACATTTACAACTGTGACTTCTTGCAGGGCTTAAGTTAAAGCGAGCTGAGAGCCATAAACTAGGGAGCAGCATACTGTCAAATCCAACAAATCACTCACTGACTCATATATACAGTATATCTCCACAATAAATCTCCACAGACACATTGTCAGGGTGCAAGTGGAATTATTCATCATAATTAGGAATCAAAGTACATAAAGAAAAGCAGGTCCTGGTCTAATGTAAAATGTTTGAATAACTGAGTGAATGAAATACGCACTTTGTTTCTTACCAGGATTCAAATGATTATGATTGTGTATGTGCTGCTTGTGTCAAAAAACAATAAAATGATTTTAAAAATCATTATATAATCAGCATGAAACTAATCATAATATGAACCTGGCATTTTTCATTGCTTACTTTCAAATTAGCAGACCTACAATCCTTGAGTCGTGAGTTAACTCACTGCCATTTCATTATTTAGAGTAAAACAAAAACCTTCAAAGAAATATGACATCACTTGTAACTTCCACTTGGACACTGTGGGACATGTTTTAAGGCAAATTCTGATACATTATTTACAGTAAAACAAAAACCTTCAAAGAAATATGACATCACTTGTGACTTCCACTTGGACACTGTGGGTTAGTCTATTGTATCTACATCTTTCAATGTATAATCTTCAATACATTTCAATAAGCTGATTTGACAATGACATTAACTTGACCTACAGTATTACTACCAAAAACTCTAGGCTTCACCTACTCACAGGTAAAGTTACACGTTCTCCTCTTTTTGGTCACGTCTATCATGGTCTTTCTTTTCTCTGAAAGCGACTGATACATTCTTAGGTGAAGCTGTGATTGACACATGCGAGTAGTTTGATGAACGTCAGTTACAGTCCTGAGATGACAGCTGGCTTTTTTTCCCGATTGGATATAAGTGACATCACATAGAGAAGTGGTTGCCAACTTTTCTACATTTCTGCATCATACATTTCTGGCGACCCCAGAGAGATTTTTTTTTCTTTCCAGAATGAGTTTTTAATATATGTTTGTTTTACTGTGTTGCAATTACAGTGCAACCAGAATAGTGCACAAGGTGACAGTTTATTTTTCCAGCGCCAGCTCTCGATATATATTCATGAAATTGAAAGAATACAGTTTCTGATCATAATTAGTTGAAAAAATATTTTAATCAATGATCATAATTAGTTGAAAAAATATTTTCATCAATTTTTTTTTTTTATAAATTATTAAATCATATGGTCAATTTCTCTGTGAGACATTATGCAGAAAGGTTCAAAATATTCTCACCCACTGATTCCAAGCATCAACAGCTAATGTAGCATGTGCCTGTTTTTCCCCCCAATCATTATGGCCACAGCTGTGTGTCCAGTCCTCAAAATAGAGACATTCATTTTTTGTTTGCAAAGGTTGACGGTGAATGATGTGCTCTCATTTATCAGCACCTGTGAGCTTAACAATGGTATGGTTACACACACAAAGGAAGCTCTCTTCTACATTTCTGTCTGATTTGGTGGGAAGTTACAGTATCTTAAACAGTTAATCAAAATAAACTCATCCTCTAAATCAATGTACATGTAAAAATGTCTCACATCTCATGCTAACACTTTAAGACATTAGCTTCCCTGAATTTCCATATGGATTTTTTTAATACCTACCAAAGTGTTTTTTGGCTTAAATCTTGAATCTAAACTTTTTTATAACTATAAAATATATAATATTTATAACTTATATATATATTTATAACTTTTTAACTATAAAATTAATAGGCTTAAATCTTGAATCTAAACTTTTTTTTTAACTATAAAATTAATGAGATTCCAAGGTGTAATTTGCACATCGTGCATTATTATATCTATGAAATATGTTAATAAAAAAGTATAGCTGTAAAAGGTGAAGAGGGGAGAAAAGACCATCCGACATATATAGAGTTTGGCAGAGGGAAAAAAACCCCGAGAGGTTAAAAAAAGGTGACATAATGAAAAGCTGGGAGTGGTGAAAGGGCATGAGTCGGATGGGTGGGTGTTGTGAAGGAGCTGAGCTGCAAAAACAGAAGAAAGGCCAGGAAAAGGAAATAGGAAGGCTGAAGATACAGATTGAATTGGACAGGCCGCGGAAGACTGTATAATGAGATGTTCTGTTGGGTCTGCTGTAGCACAGCTACATGTACCAATGTCCAGCTAAGGTTTGAATCCCATTGGATGAATTTATCAATCTTGGGTTATGGAGGCATGGACAATGGGATATAACAAATACAGACTATTTTAAAAATACTGAACTGCACATTTATTTTCAATACTTGTGAAAAAGTACACAGCCAACACTGTCAACTTTTAAGTTTTGTTCAATACATACTGTATAGTTTAGATTTACATGCCAGCCTTTTGCAGCGGTGTGTTTGGTGAGCAAAGACCCGAAAAAAATCCCCTGGGGGCAATTACTGCAGAGAGTTTTTTACCCGAGGGGATTAGTAAGTAGAGAAAAAAAAAAGGGAAAAATCTAGTACACAAAACTACCAAGCTAGAATGTCAGAATGCAGGTGCAAACGCTACTTTTATTGCTATATCACAATAACATCTAACATAAAAACAACACACTTCTCTTTTGAGAACAGATTTCTCTACAGTCCATCACCTAAGCTAGGCAGGTTCAAAACTGACCATATATTAAACAGCGATCAGTGGACCGACGGGTCACTAACGCAGTAATAATAGCTCAGCACTTGGCAGTTCTAAACCTACATAAAGAGTGTATTGAACCTATTTCTAAGTGTGTTGCACAGGGCCCAGAATTCCTGGCAGAACCCTTGCATAACATGTATATTGAGCTAGTCTCCGAGGGACTACTTTGAAGACAGGGTGTGTGTTCAGAGAGCGCACCTCTCTCTTCAGTCAAATTGTCTTCAGTCTGTGCTACGGTGGCCAGTTATGTAACTGCACATGCATTAAAAAGGAAATTACAACTTAGCTGAAGTACTGAGAGCAACACAAAGTGTTGTCAGCAACTGTTGGAGCCACTGACAAAAAAGTATTATTTATTTGTCTTTTAGCTCTGAATTTCAAACGTTTGAATATTTCGCAACTAAAGGGTTCTTATATGTGGAGAAGACGTAGAAGACGGAAGTAGTATGAGATTTTGAAGAGCTTATATATATGTAAAATATGAAAAAAGGAGGACAGAGAAAGAGGAAAACATGTATCTTAAAAAAGTAACTGGATTGTATTGTATTGTTGAAAGGCCATAAGAAGAATATTTGAAAAGCTAAAACCAAGTTACTTCCAAAACAAGCAGGAAACTATAAGCTTTATTTCTGATTGGATGGAATTGATGAGGTGAATGCTAGCAGTTACCTCGCTGACAGCAACGTAGTATCTTGGCTGCTGAAAGCGCGGGGTGTTGTCGTTGCGGTCTCGAACAACGATGCGGACCTCGTGAAGGATCACTGTGCCTATCAGCTCATTGGTACACTGCACCTGGACCACAATGGACTGGATGTATGAGGGAGGCTGTGAAAGACGTCAAAAGATGAGAGAAATTATATGTCAGTTTTGAGTAAATACAAACCACCAAAATTAAAAGTTTCTTTCATCGCACAGGATTGCTTGCAACTAAATTTGCTTATTTAAAAACAAAAAACAGGGCCGACATGAAGGGTTAACACAGCTGAACTTACATCTCTGTCCAGAAGTCGCCCAGTGCTGTTGAGATAAAGGGATTGTTTGGAAGGATCCAGAATCACCCAGTAGCCATTGTTATCCCTCAGCGAAAGAGAGATGGTACGATCTGGACCCTCCGCCACACCGTTTATATGCATGTTCTCCACCAGCAATGTCCCTGTCAGATGATCACAATCAAACTAGTTTGAACTTTGACCATGTTGATCTCACTGCACTTGTACAAACAAATAATGTTTAAAAACTACAAGGCCAGAAAAAAAAAGCAAAAAGTCCAATTCTAAATAAGTACAAAAGACAAGCAGTAAAAAACATGTCAAATCAAATAATTGTAGTCAGTAAAAACGTACAGGCCAACTCTGTCTGCATTCCTAAACTAATACCTAATATATACTATATATATATGTATGTATATATATATATATATATATATATATACACATAAATAGATATTAGTTTATTGGGAGGGAGGGAAAACTTAGAGTAACAAACAGGAAAACATGACGTGATTAAAATTTAAACTGTCAGTTGTATTTTTTTCCAGCCATGCATATTATCTCTTAGTCTATTTTAAGCCGAGAAAAATCAAGTTAGAAGGACACAAGGTCAAGAAACTTTCTAAGGAGAAAGACAAGGCTGAGAAACATTGACAAATATCTGTATTTGTTGGGGGGAAAAAAACAGAAAAAGTACACTAAATTGACCATTGAAATGAATGTGACTGTGACTGGTTGTTTGTCCCCATGTGGTTGACCCAGCTGATGGACTGCCTAACTGTCTGTGGTGTACCTTGGCCTGATCCAAATACTGCTGTGACTTACACTAGCTCTGAAAGTCGAAAAGCAGTAGAAGTTGAATCTCAACAGCATTGTATAAATAGAAAAACATGTGGATATAAAATGTATGGATGGTCTGAATTAGGTGAACCGTACATAAGAAATACATTCAAGAAGTCTTGCGAGCCGTAAATTCATCTTGAGCTAGAGCAAGAGACTAAAATCACAAATATCCTAAAAAGCTGTATGTGCAGCATGGAGCAGTTTGTTACACACTTCACTGCTCTTTTTCTGCTTTATCCTTCTGTTTGTTTATGCTCATGCTACTGCAGGTGCTACTGATACCAGAGAGTTTATTATAAAAGGGCATCCCAAGTAGTTTATACAGGACAAAGTTTAAAAAAAAAAAAAAAAAAAAAGGTCTGACACGTGTGATTTGTGTTGTTTGTATGCAAAACGCTCAACATTAGTTTATAGGATTTATGTTTGCAACCTTAGGGTCGCAACTCCCTATGGGTTCGCTTTGAAATTAAATAGCTTTAATTGATTAAAAAACAAATTACTGAGAAAAATATTTTTTTGACTAATCATTAGTTTTTGTAAGATTAAGATCAAAACAACCTGCATTTTTTGTTCAGTTCAAATAAAATGCTGCATATAAAACTATCCAAACTGGCGCATCTTGATTGACGGCTGCGATCACATGACTAAAAAGATAATGGCTCTGCGGCCGCCAGAAATTTGGGACGTCAAAATGCGGTCACAAGCCAAATAAAGGTTGGGAAGCACTGTTTTAAATTGTCTGATAAAAGACAGATTATTATATATTATTGATATGTCAAGATCAGACAAATCTGGAATATTTCTTCTTTATAGAGTACTTTGCAGTTCAGCTTTGAGGTGACACTGAGTTAGTTGAAAACGATTCAATTATAGGTATGCTGCGATGTCACGGTACGGCACCAGTGCATTGTGAGCCGAACCAGCATCAACAAAAAAGCAGAAAAGTAAAAGAAAATATGAATAGTGCAGCTTCATCTGTGCGCATACAATTTATACGTGACCCATTATTACGCCTTGCGCTGTTGTGCCATTGCTGACAAAATGAATGTGTGTGTGTGTGTGTGATTTTCTTTAGCTCTTTGTAAAGCATTTCAAGTTCTTACAATACTCTGTGGGTGTCCTTGTATCAGCAAGTGAGTTGGAACTGAACAAAATGAAATAAGATTGACAAGAGGTTCTTCTTTTTCCCCCACATCTCTTTAGCCAAGGAACTCACTAACAATGTTGCACTTATTTTTATTCTGCAGTTGTATATAACTATTTCTCCTCTTTCTCAAGTTCCCTTCCCCTTTAAAACCTATAGGGCACAATCTGTTCTCAAACAAGAAATGTCAGTAGTTACCATCCGAGTAAAGATTTTTGTAGTATGCACATTTTCTCAAGGTTTACCGCACTCCAAAAGCTTGCATGTTAGAATAGAATAGAATAGCCTTTATTGTCCTTGTACAGTGTACAACGAGATTTGAGCGCTACTCACTTGGTGCAAAAAAAAAAGGGTAGAAGACAACAGTATATCAAACATATAACAAACATATCTTTGGTGTAGTTAGTTTTTGCACATAGTTGTATGTTTATTGCACAGTGATCAATATGATAAGTAAAGTGTGAAATAGTGTGGACTATTTTAACTGGTTTTGTTTCTATTGTTTACTGCTGAGATAGCTTTCGGGAAGAAGCTATCTCTGAGTCTGTTTGTCTTGGTTTTGTGTGACCTGTGCCGTCTGCCTGTCGGTAACATGTCGAACAGAGAGTTACTGGGGTGGGACGTTGTGGATGTTGTGGATGTTGTGGTTTAGACTGCTTTATTGTTCTGAATTAGGAGCTTTTAATGAGATTGTGAACGGCTGTTTGGCCATGTGTTGAACCAGTGACCTTACTAGTGTGTGCATTATCTTCATGTAAAAAAAAAAAAAACAACCTTGAAACACCTGATTGATCCACAGTCTGATTAATCATAACCTAGTCATATCATTTTGGAGCTCTTATAAAAGAAATTTGTAACAAATACATTTAATAGTCAATGAGTCAATGGGTCAGGTTTAACTTTACATCTCTGATGTGTATGTTTGTGTGTATAAAATATGTTGCTTATCTGAAAATTGTGCTAAATATGACACCACTTACTACCCCATTTCCCAATTCTTGGGAACGGGGAATTCTTCTTCAATTTCTGTTATGTACCTCTTGAAATCTTTCAAAAATACTAAACAATGGAAGCACCAGAACACATAGTTTGAGTCCAAATATCCACAGCGTGCCCACACCTTTTGTGTAACTGATCTGTATCCAAACCAATTCTACACACCATTTCATATAAATGGTATCTTTTCACAGTGACCTCCCTTTATGTGACTGAATATTGCCCTCAGAAGCACCTAATTAAATTGTCCCGTGCATCGCAGCGTAGAGGCAGACGGGCAAAAAAAAAAAAAAAAAAAATCAGTTTGCGTGTATCTGCGCAGCAATGGTAAGAGATTATCGAAGGGGGGGGGCAGAAAAGGACAGTGAAGGGGGGGGGGAGGCAGAAAAGGACAGTGACGATGGGAAGAAAAATGAGACGGATAGCAGAGGAATGCGAGGTAAGAAAGATTGGGTTGAATGAGAGGGAGATAGGAATCAAGAATAACGAGAATACTGGGGGAGAATAGAGAGAAAATGAGCATTGTGGTTCATATTAATGGATTTTTTACAGGACATTAGCTCCAAAGAATGTGGAGATGGTAGGGTGGTTTGGGAGAGAGCCAGGTGGGAGCTATTGACTGAGAAGTAATCATCAAATCTATTCGGGACCATTGCTTTTTCAAAAGTGGGGGAAACAATAATGGGAAACAAAAGATATGGTGAATATAGGTACATACTTTTCCCAATAAAACTGCGCTCAGCACTGCAGTTTATATTTAGACTGACTAGTTGGTGTTTTTCTAGGGCTGTCAATCCAAAAAATGAATCTGATCAATCCAAGGGCAGCTGTTGATCAATCACGAACAATCACGATTAATTGTGATTGATCATGATTAATCATATTCATAACTAATCATGATTAAACACCATAGAATTGTGTATATTGTTGGAACAGAAAGACAAACAGCAGCGGGAGGCATTATAACATGGAAAAACTGCATATTATAACTCAATGTGATCTTGATGGTGAACTGTAGAACAACAACTTTTTGTACCAAGGACAGGTCGGCTGGTATCAGCCATTACTGTGGACTGGTAATACTGTGCCATCATTGAAGGATAATTAATTTCTTAAATTCAATCACCTATTCACCTTTATTCTATGAGTATCTGAGTCTGAATGACCTGTTGTTTTGAAACATTGTCAGATTATATTTTAATGAAAACAGTAAAGGAATATGAGTGGATTCTTTTTGGATGAAGTAAATTAAATTAATTTTTTCACTGTGTCCCACTGCGGCCCGGTACCAAATAAGCTACAGACCTGCACCGGACCCCAGACCGGGGTTTAGGAACCCCTGCTGGAGAACACAATTTGAAGCACATACCGTAGCCCTCAAATGATGTGATAAACACATTTAGGTGGCCCAAGTTTTTCAATATTTAACTGCAAATTTTACTTCCTTCTGCCTCAGCAAAAACACCTTGCGCCAACGCACCCCTTCTTTGACTTTCTGCACTGCTAAAGCAGCAATCTTCACGTTCTCCTTCACGACATCCATAAAGCTTCTCTTCAATCTCTTTTCTCCTGCCTGGCATCCTCTGTGCATTCAATCCATATATTTCTTCTGCAAGTGTACAAACTTTTCGTCCCTATTTCCTCTACAGCCTTACCTCCACACTGATATACCATAGCTGTCACACCTCAAGTGCTCGTATCTCATCCAGCAAATCCTGGTCACTACCAATAAAATTTCACCGTCCTCAACTGTTAAACTCTCCAGCCTCGCTCGCTGTCTTTTTTTGACAATGTCTTCCAACCGTACGTCACAGTAGGTCTCACCTTTCTTTCACTCCTCTGACACACATCACCGTGACATTCCTCTCCTCCTACTCCACACTACCTACACCAGACCTATATTTGGACATTTCTTTAAATTCATCTCCAGCACTTGGTTTATAAGTAAGTCAAAACATCTATATGTCAACCAAGTATGTCATCGCTCAACTGCAGATCATTAGTTTAAGGAAATAATCTAAAATGTGTGGAATCTTCAAGGGAGTTCCTTCTTTCAAATATTATGTATGACACATTGCAATATGAATATTAATGTTACTTTACTTTTTTTGATAGTTTGTTTTGATGTGAACATGACAGTATAAATTAAAAAATACTGCGAAAAAAAATTCTGAGATCACATGTCTGTCCAACTGATGTGGGTAATCAAACATAGAAGCTATGATCATACAACTGCTGGACCCTGGTTTCTCAGCTGAGCTCTAAGCTAGGCAACTTTACTTGTTGCAATTGTTGATGCATCTACATGAGTGACGTTGACGTCTGCCGAGTCAAAAAGTCATATTTTTTTTGTTTGTGTTGACGCACTAAACGTCACAAAACAATGGTTAAAGAATCCTTGTGATACATCTGACCGGGAACTGAAAATTAGTTTTGGTCATTAATTTGATGTGACTGCTGAAATCAGATCCAAGTCTATCAGCACACCAAGGTTAATTCTTTGGACTTAAGGTGTAATAACAATCTGCAAATGCGTGCATGGAAAGTCTAAGAACACAGACTTTCTCTGGGATTGTTTCCTGGCTGGCAAACTGGGTTTTTTGCCTCATCTCCCCAGTCTCTTTCAGGACCAGCTCTCAACATGGCTGCGTGTGGAGTCCACATCTGTATTCATGCTGCACACATCACCGTTCTTCCTTCCACAACTCCTGCTCCATAATTAAATTTGACAATGAAACCACCCCACCTCATCTCAGGGGGTGATGAGACGGCCCCGCGGGGATGAGTTTCACAAACTGAACCCTATGCCTGTAGGCCACAGTGACCTGAAGATAATCTACCACTGGATACAAAGAAAATGAATGGACCTTGGACTTCGATTGGCACTTCAAGGAAGTTTAGGTCTTTTAAAGGAAAGTGGTTAAGCAAAAAAAAAAAGGACACTAATTCAATGCTTTAAGCACTAGGGCATTTAAATCAAGCACAAAGGTTTTACAATGTCACAGACATAATATAGATAACGCAGGTAAATATGGGCAGTGGCACTGTTCGACTGCTGCTTTAGTCTCTTTGCTTAATGCATGTGATCTGTTCTAGCAGTGAGAGCTACAGTTAGATACTGTACTTAGTAATAACTTATTTTCTGACATTGTCTGGGCTATTAGGCTGGCTAAGTCCTTTGCGCTTTTGCTCTAGACAATGCGCCGGATCCAAGGTGCTTTATTTAATCATTGCAATCATTTCATTTCCACAGAAAACCGCATCACATTATGTAGTGTGGCATAATGACAGAGCATTCAAATTGGAAGTATTTTTCCCACACAGCTGGTGTTTGTAGCGGCACAAATGTACACTTACTGATCATGAATGAACATGAATAAATGAAAAAATGCCAGTCCTCCATATAATTCTGTATCACTTTTACTTAAATAAGGTACCGTGGTCTGTATCTACCACCCTTTATTCAGCAACTTCATGTCAGTCAATGTCATCTTTTTTCCCACTGCTCCAGCAGCAGCAGCTGCCATTCATCGACCAACTGTTATTAAAGCTACCGTAGGGTAAGTCCAGCAGCAGCAGCTGCCATTCATCGGCCAACTGTTATTAAAGCTACTCACCGTAGGGTAAGACTGTTTTTCAATTCATGAATGCACGCCTTTCAAGCAGTGGTGCTCTGTTGGTAACTCTGCCTGCTTCTCCCACCATGTCTTCTGCCCCTGTCCCTTCTGTGACTATGAGTTTTGCCATTGCCCTTCTTGGCTCCTGTCTCCTTCAGTGGCTGGCAGGTGTTACCTCTGTCTCCACTACACCACAGTCCAAACTCTGCGTCTCAGCTGCTACAAGTGCAACCCCCTGTCCAGTACTGTATATGTGACTTCACCCTAGTCTCCCACTGACTGGTCATCTGTCAGCTGCTCTGCAGTGGTCATCAACATCCTTCGTGACGAGAGTCAAGTATGGGTCTCAAACATCAGTATTTAGTAGGTATTTTTGTAGAAGTATTTTTCGTTTAATATAAATGCATTAATACTGCCTTGCAAGCTGAAAGCACAGATTTTCTCCTTATTCTTAAAAGCCACATCACATACTCGGGCCACGAGTTTGATACGCCTGCATGAAAGGGAAATACACATACTATATATTTAGAGTAGAGTCTCTCTGAACTTTTTTTGTCAGCCATCTGAACTATTGTGCTGTCTTACTGCACCATAAACTAACCTGAACAATCCATTCCATATAACAAGTGGCACTGTGTCAAAATAGCTGTATTATTTACCTATGATGTAATTGTACATCATAGGTATAAAAATGTAATTTAAACCATGAAAACATTCAAATGGAAGCAAAAAAAATTCACATTTCACATTTACTCAAAAGAGAATCACACTGATGTTTTAACCAGACCTTAAGCAGAAACAAAAGAACCAGGATGTACAATAACGTACCAGTTAAGTGAAATGTTTTACAGTTTGTGCAACATTTGTATTAATTTATCAAACTTTTAGATATAAGTTTGTGATAAATCACATCTTGAATATATGGAATGATGAAAAGAGTGTTGAAGACATGTAATGTGATGAAAAAAAGATGAATATGATAAATGTTTTACCATTGGGACTTTCTTCATCTATGGCAACGATGGTGGCAGGAGGACCCGACCGTGAAAGTTTACATTCTGCAATAAAGAAGAAGAAAACGTGTTAAAAAGAAGTGTACTGAAATGAACAGTCTTAAACATTTTGAAAAACTATGCCGGAGTCGCTGAAAAAATGTCAAGGTCGAAAATCTGTGTGCAGCTAAATTAACTTCCACAAGTATTGCATTGACTGGAACCCATATACATTAAATATAAATATAAATACTTCGCTACACAGACAGTTCTTTCAGTTTTTAATAAAAAACATGAAGAACAAATTCAAGGTCTAGTTTTAAACACAAAAATACATTATATCCACTAATTTTCCACACCGCACGTCACCGTAGCAAAACGATAGCTTATATGGGCTAATGCAACCTTAATTAACAACCATTCCGCAGAAATGACACAAATAACATCTAAATGATACATCATAGCAAATAATACTAACCTTGTGGCTCTTCGGAGGGTTGCTAATATCTTAAACAATTATTTTAATTAACTATTTTCGCCGTATCTGTTTTCCATTTTCTTCCTGCCGTCAATGACTTTTTTTTTTTTACGACGAGACTCCGCGACTCCAGCAGAGCCCTTTCAAAATAAAAGCTCCTATTATCAAAACAGCACTAGTACAAGTACAGCACTAAGACCAAATTAAAACCAACATGAAAACACATAAAGATAACAGAATGAATATTCAACAACGCAATTTATTTTCTATAGCGGAAATATAAATTGGGTTATTTACAATTCAGTTATAAGCACTTGAGCAATAAAACATACACATATATTACATTTTTGGTACTAGAGCATATTAAAAACAATATTAAAAAATGTTGTTTGGACTTTTCATTTATGAAGTTGGGGTCTCTTGGAACTAGCTTGCTGGTTTAGATGAGTCACTGAAAATGGCATCACACAAGTGAGTAGAAATGTTAAAAACAGTTGCAAGGTACAACCATCATCACACAGCACTTACCGTAAGGAGAAGGTACATGAATAAAAAAAATAAAAACATTTATGGCATAAATTCTTAGAACCTTTTTAACCAACCCTTCTGAGACTATACAAAAATACATAATGTATATTCACAAAGTTATTTAATCAGCCTTTTAAAACTAAAGAAATAACATGTAAGTTATATAACATATAAATAACAAATAGCACAGTTATAGTGAGGTTTGAGGGGAAAAAAAGATGATGTCTTATTTATCGTAATAAATAGGACACATGAGAGGCCAAATGAAAAAAAGGAGATGGATAATAAAAGTATAAACCATTGCTATGACATTATGCTGTGCAAGGATAACACATGTGTGGTGATAAATAATGGAGAAGCTCGGAGGAGCCCCCGTAGCCATCACTGCAGGGTTGGCTGAGGTTAATACGACTAACACAGTGACTGAACAGACCGTTCACACAGGGCAGGAGAAATGAAAAGAGGTTCTTACCCTCATACTGCCAATCTGCCACAAGAACCAGTCCAGTTTCATCAGAAAAGATGGAAGGAGGAGATAGGAAAGTAACACCCGAGGGAGAACAGACCAAAGAAAAGGGAGAAAAAAAAAGGAAAATTAATCACAGTAGAAAAAAATACAGATTTAAGACACGTTGGCAGACGAGAGTCCTTCAGTGGTAGATGATAAAACAAGAGCGTGTCTGAAGTGCTGCATTTTTTTAGTCATTTTGTTGCTTGACGTGATGTAGCAAAAACCTATCTGCAGTGAGGTAAACTAATAACATCTTTTTATTTTTTTTATTTTTTTTAGAAAAATTCATATGTGACAGTGCCATCATTAATCTATCTTTAATTATTATAAGACAATTTCCCTAAATTCAAATCTAGACAACCACCCTTAGATGGTGTTTGACTTGGTAGTGACTTAAATAAAGTGCATGGTAAAGCCCAAATGTATGTTCAAATGTAGTTGATTATGTTGGGGTTTTTTTCACTGTATCTATACAGTTTGTCCCGCGGTTGTACCAAGGCATGACATGATACCATTTAAAGAACACAAATCTCACAGTAAGTCTAGCTCCTGTCTTTGTGACTGGTGGTAAAATCCCTTCAAACTGCTGACATTGTTGACCTACTTATAAACTAAACTACCCTTGAGGGCACTGACACTGAATTGCAATAAGAAGACACACAACAGAGAGAAATTATGCAACTTCAAATGCAACCTTTTTTGAAAGTCAGGTGAGTGATAACTTTAATTTCTAGACTTCATTTCAACCTAATCCCCTGAAGATCATGTTTTTGATTGTGGGAGGAAACGATGATACCCAGAGGAAACCTATGCAGGTACAATGAAAACAAGCAAACTCCAAACACTAGGAGGAAACGATGATACCCAGAGGAAACCCATGCAGGTACAAGGAAAACAAGCAAACTCCAAACGGAGCGATCAACTGGTGATCTTGCTGCAAATGCAGGCTTTAATACAACTATCGCCACAACTACTCTTTAATAGAATATATAAAGCAAATAAAACAACCACAACAGTATCTTTGGATTCTTTGCCATGTGTCCTTGTGTCCAGTATTAAAAAAAACACTGTACAAGGACAGCCCGTTAAACAGAAGGGGCAGCGTTATTGTACAGCGACTGAGGATGGTTGTGAAAACTCCCACAGGAAAGCTGGAAGACAGGTATCTGCTCACCTAGAAAATAGACTTCATGGAACAATGACCACGCTCCCCTCCTCTCTTCCCTCGCCATCCCTTTCCTTACCCCTCCTCCCAAATGATTAAGCTTTACAACTGTGCAACACAACAGATTATTTCAGCATTCACTGGTATTGGTCCTCGTTTCTTGCAGGGGGAGATGGTAATAAATTCCGCAAACACAAATTAAACTCTCCGAGGGCAGTATATTAGCTATACTAGCGCCGCCAATAATTGGTTTTATACTTGTTTGTAGCACAAGACGGCTAGCGATCCAGCATGATAATTACAGTCTTTACATGTGTAAACTGGTAATATGAGGGTTGCGGCAAATAGAAACTTTGTGAATGTAGAGGGAGAATGAGCTAGCACTGAGGTTGTTCTGCGCTTGTATACTATACTTGGCTTAGGAGCAGCAGCTAGTATTTGTGGCTGGTTTGTGGCAGGAAGTCAGTAAAAGATCTTGACTGACAGGGGGGGGCAGGTCAGGAGCAGATAGATGGAGCATTCATGTGAACTAAGATAAATGACATGTAAAAGTTACGCATAAAGGCTAAAATGCTAAAGATTTTTTTAGCCTTTTCTACTTTTCTACTTGGTGTAGGACGGGGTGTCCACACTTTTTTGGCTTCAGAGCTTCAATTCAAATGACCAGGCTATAGTGATCTAACCACGCTGGAAACGTTAAACTTTATTCTTTATGTATAGAATCATATTTATATGTATTATATACACTCCCTTAGGGATCTATTGGTAGATCTGAATCTACTTCCTGGGCACTCCGGAGTAGGACAAGGCAGAAGACGGCTGAATCTTATCCTTAGACTTTGGAAACTGGAGCTACAGAGTGACTGAGTCGATAAACGTGTGCACCTTGAGCGCCGTGAAAACCTTTCCATTCCACATTCTGAAGTCTACATGTCGTGATTGCTTTGTGTGGAATCAAACATGGTCTCCCTGCTTGATAAATAGGCTGCCTGGTGTGATGATGATTGGTAGCGGCGGAATATCCGTGTGTCATGTCAATAACTTACCCTGGGTTACCGCGGCTACAATGAATGGAGCGGATGGGGAGCAAACATTCTGTTCCGAAGCTGGGGACGGCGAGAGCTACAGGCACATTTTAATGGTGATGTCCTGCGGTACTTTCCAGACATATTCTCCTAACAGCGGCCTCGCCTACACAGAAGAACGACTGGCCCTACAGTTAACAGGAGAGTATAATTCCCTCTAGAATATACTGTACGTAGACGTGTTCTGAGGCCCATAGTTAGGGACTATACTGACCAGACAGGGGTCAATTCATTACATGAGGGGTCACCGATTATAATTGTCAGCCACCTTGGGGCCAAGCACTGAAATAAAAGGAAATTAAAATCACATCATTATTTAAAGTTAATTTTGAAGTCGTGCACTGGATTGGACGGTTTTGGTGTGCTAGAGTTGGCCAGCGGGCCATCACTTGCTACTTTATGTTCTGGCATGTAGACTGTATCCTGAGTCTCTTTGGGAGTTAGGTGTTTTGTTACACTCAGGATTCATGTGGTCATTCCTAGCCAGGAAAGGCTTCAAGCTGACGTCACGTCTCTGGTGCCAACCTCGAGTGCCAGCAAGTTGAAGTTTTCAAAGTCATATTTTTGTCCTGCCAAAGTCAGAGTTTGGGGGTGGAAAAGTGCAAGGGTGCAGTTTCCTGTCACCTGCAGCTCCCACCCTCACAGCAGAAGCATCAAACTCAGCATTAAACAGTGAGTGCTGCAGCTAAGGAGCTGTAATCTTTTATGAATCTCCTGTTAAGGTTGGTAAAGCCCCCAGATTTTCTGCAGCTTTTCCTTGTCTTTAGAACGTGCTGGTGGGTAATGGCGAGATCCATGGTTGGGGCTATCTGAATATTATTTTTCATATGCTTCGTAACGGGAAAGGACTGCAGCCAGCAGACTGACAAAAGTCAATGGTAAATTTTAATCCAGGAGAAAATGTAGATATTATCCAGCTAAACAAGTGCATGTCTATGTAATGTATCTAACAGTAGCAGCAAATCCAGGCTGCTGTAAATGCATTTAAAGTCAAAAGACACAACACAAACAAACAATGGTAACTATCCCCATGGTAGCCGAAGACACCAAACAACAGTCATTGGTCACATCACACTTTGCCAGCTCGACTTGGTCTGTGTGTGTGTGCGTGCGTGCGTGTGTGTGTGTTTGTTTTGCTATGGCAGATGCGTTTCCCCTGCTTGGCTGCCTTTTCATCCGTCAGTGTAAGTTGATGCCCCTCATCTATTACTAATTACCCATTTGTTGTCTATGTTGCATGGATGTATGTCTGTGTTACTCCCCTCCTTTGCCCTTTCCTCATTCCCCCCCCATTTAACCCCCAAGCAATACGAAGCAAAGGGTTAAAAAGTAAGGGTTAAAAAGTGCAACAGTTAACTTTTACAAAAATGTTACCTTAGAAAGGAACAACGACTAAAGAAATGTAATGAGGGACTCCTCGGTTCAAGCTGCTGATTTCAAGTTGGAAAATCCATGTTGTTTTGTTTGATTTCTCTCCAGTGGAAAAGATTTGTTTGTACTGTAGCTTTCCTGCATTTTCAAGTAAATCGATAATTATTTATGTTGCATGTGTTTATTTGTATATTTAATTAATTTGTTTCACCTTGTTTTTCTGTGCGTGTTTTATTATCATATTTATCCAATTTATCCTTAGGTTTATATATATATATAGACATGTATAAGTTTGTTTTTCTTATGTTCGTTTTGAAGGATAAAATAACTGTTTGAACCAAATAATTAAAGGTGAATGAATAAATGAGAACCATGGTATTTTATAATTATTTGTACTCCTAATACTTGATCCTAATCACAGTTTCAAATGCAGCATGTATAAAACTGCCGGGAAGTACAACGAAGCAGTTAAGTTATTTTTCAACAACTTACTCAGACGGCAGATAAAGCTGCTGTTATTTACTGCCTTCTGTTTCATCCTTTTATGAAACACCTGTGCGTGACACTCCTTATTGTTCCAGAGTGTTCCGTCAGAGACCGGGGTCAAACACTCTCCGGGCTTCTGACAGTAAATTGAAAAGAAACCCGTCCTCAGTGCCACCACAGTTTGACCAGTGAGGCCCCAAACTCCACAGCGAGGAGCGGTAGTCACCGCTCATGAGGTTTGACTATTTATAAATCCTGGACTGTTCCACTTCATGAACTGCAGTGCTGTGCAGCTGCATTCATCATCTGAAAACTGTCAACATGTGTCACAGTGCAGCAAATGGCCAGATACGTCTTGCCTGCAGTCAACAGCTGGAGTGAAATTTTGTTTACCTGCGTAGGCTTAAATTGGAAGGAGCCGCTGACTTTGATAATGTCACCAGCCAGAGTTTTGGAATAAACTAAAAGTATCTAAAAAAAAAGTTTGAAGCCTCAGCCAACTTAACTGTCAACTAGGAGAGTATATTGGTGTGTTCCTCTGCAGCGCTGCCCTTTACTTGTATTGTCTACTTTCCCACTTTCAAGGGCTGAAGGGTTTTGGAAGATTTTTTAAAAATGACTTCTAATGTACTTAAAACATATATTTATAGATGATTTATAGATAACATAAATTAAAACATACATTTATTGACGTGTTGGTAAAAAACTTAGCTTGAATACCTCTCTCTCTTTCTCTCTCTCTCTCTCTCTCTATATATAGTATATTTATACTGTATATATTCCATATATACATATACATATATGTATTCATCTATATTACATATGTTAAATATGTGTATATATGTATATGTATATATATGTATATATGT